ATCTAAGGAGTAGAATGTAAAAAAAAAAAAAAAAAGTAGCCTATAGTAATGAATTCACTATATTACAGTAATACAATAACAATCTTATTGGAAGTATCACCTTAGACATTCAGTAGTCTCTCCCTGTTACTGATTATTATTGTTACTGGTTATGTGTTATTTCTTATTGCAGACTTCTGAAATGGCTCAAATGAACAGTGTCCAAGGAAATCTAATTACTGGATTTGAGACTGTGGACTGAATCACGTTGGCTCACTCACTGTAGCTCACCAGGACTGAATTTTTCAGGCTCCCTCCAGTCAGAAAGTAATGGATGAGAGTCAGCACAGCCAGTGACAACCTGGTCCATCTGTTAGACTTCAAATCTCATTTAACAGCAGTTCAGTTTCAGTTCAGTTTTTGTTGTTGCATTGAAACCGTGTCCGTCTCGTTCCTTGTTAATCGGTAATCTATGTTCTGCCCTGAGGGACAGCTTACAGTGCCACTAACAAGAAACACTGTAAAATATAAATGAAAACGTTTATTTAATTATATTTATGTCATTTGCCATGTCTTGAATTGTCAGCTTGAACTTGTCGGGAACTCTCATCTTGTTTTTGCCATCCGTTGATGGTTATGAAGCTTCACAGAGAATTTCCTAAAGCCTAATAAGCAACCTATGACAAAGTAGATATTCATGCTGTATACTAGGCCTAAGTGTACTGACCTCTTACTGAAGCTTCTCAGAGCTTGATCCATTTTTGGGCTGCACATTTAGAGCAAACTTTTACTGAGTGCCGTAATTACCAGCAAATCCTCAGAGAAACAGCTGGAATACATTTGAGTGCACCCATTAGGACATAGCTTCTATCGACAAGCCTTCTGCCGATAAGAGCCACTAATAGTCAAGTCTCTGTTCTCTTTTCATTTATTTGACAAGAAGCATGTTGCTCTGCAGATGGCTGTGATTCATTTTGTGCAGCCCCAAAAATAAGCCATGACACCGAGCTGTCTGATATTGATCCTCAAACGCAGACCCGGGTCATATGACCGAAATATGTTCATCAGAGGAAGTATCTACACGCGGAGCTCAGCTTCCTACATTATTTCAGGTAGTTGAATGTCCACACCTGCATGCCTGACCTCCGACATAAAACATTAAATGCATTTTTTAAAATGTCAAGTCCCAGTCATTTGTGTGACACGGGGATAATGAAAGATAAAGACCAGGGTACAACCATCAGTTAGACCCATCAGTGGAGGACATGGACATTTGATCGGAAATTTAGTCAGTTTTCTCCTCTCTACAACCAGACTTCACATTAACATTTACAAAGTTATCATATAGCCTTAAAACTTTACCATTATAATCTGATACCATGTTCATCCATGTAAAGGATCTTGTTTTGTTCTAGCTGAAACTCAAAGAATAAAAGTGCAAGTGCCGACTCTATGGTCTCTGTTTTGTTATGTACATATATTGCATATAGGGTCAAAAGGAGTCTCAAAAGGTTTCATATGTATTCAGACAAGGTCTAAACGTGACCCGCTCCCTTCAGTGAAAACAAACTGAAGATACAAGACACACAAACGAACATAAACAACGATTTTCTAAAAAATATCAAATTTAATTTAGATATAAAAGTTGTATTTTTCACATGCACACCCACACATAATTAATCACCATAAATACTGTCCAATGATTTCTCTTTTTTCTTTTCTTTTCTTTTTTTTCTTTTTTTTTTTTAACTTTGATTCACAAAGCAAGCACATACGGTGGACTGATACATCTGATTTCAAAGGACACTATGGAGAATGCTTGCAGTCTTTTACAGGGAGAGGAAATCTCAGTGCACTAAAAAAAAGGCTGTCGTAAAATCAAGTAGAAACATTTATAAATTACCTACAAATGGATCAAAGTACAAAAGAGCTACAGTGTTTAGAGACACTACACCCATTCACAAGAGAATGATTTGGTATTGGGACACCATATTAGTTCAACTGCATGAAAGACTGAATGAGAAATTATACATAAACAGCTTTGGAACAAAAATAATCAGTGTAAACCGATTTCTGAACTCGTCCTACATTCCATTTTGGCAACCCTCTCTTGTCACTGTCATTTCATCAATAATATTGACAAATTATTTCATACAATAAACTCATATCTGACTCAATCTTCAAGTGCAACTTGACATAAAGGACAACTGGAGATTAACAGGATAAAATGGACATTCAAAACTAAACAGAGAGAATATTTAAATTATTAAAGCTATCCCTCCTGTTCGTTATTGAGTTCTTGAGTGCTTTTATTCACCGCCACACCACACGAGATGTTGGTACAGTATGTAGACTCTTCCTCTCAGTAATACAAGTTAATATTTAAAATAGTATTCCCATGATCTTGCATAATTAACACAGATAATAGCTGTCTCATTGAAAGCCAAAAAAGGGGTGAGCAAGTTGTGCTTTATCTACTATGGATGAATATATATTATGTGCTGTGACTATATGTGATCAGTGAGACTGAAAGTCAGCATTGCAGTTTGCATGTAAATTTAAAAAAATTATATAACCTTTTTTTTGTTTTTTCCGTCACATCAAGGCTTCCACACAGAATTAGATTAAGTCTCCAGCTGCAGGTTTTCCAGTGTTTGTCCAATGTACTCTGGCTGTCAGAACCATCAGAACACTTCAGATAAATAGATAGATATAGATAGATAGATATTATTTATCCCCTAGGGGAAGTTCATGTGTTCAGTAGCTTATTGGTCATAGTAATAATAACAATAAATAATAAATAAACAATAATAATTAAATTAGTCCACTTCCTTTGGCTGGGGTCTTGTATAGCCTGATGGCAGTGGGAACAAAGGATCTCCTGAACCTCTCTGTTTTTTTCAGCAGTTGAATCTGAAATCCTGGCTGTAGTGGGACACACAAGTTGCAAATTCATGCTGAACGTAAGAATTCAAATAAAGTTTATTTAACCAAATTGGAGCTGAATATTTTTAAGACTTTCAAACAAAGCAGAAGCAACTAACATTTGGAAAAACTGGGAGAGTGAAATGCTGACAGTCAGTGTCACTAATCACACAGACACTTAAATGTAGATTCAGCTTCACACTCAGTGCAGCCTGATCTGTCATTTTTGGAGCTTTTACACTGACATTAAATCGAATGAGAAACTGATTTAAGAGACAGTGCTGAATATTACATCATCTCTGCTGATCTGATCACATATTCTGCTGCAATTGTTTTTTTTAGTGGCATTATGCAAATAGGTTTGTTTTTTTGGTGGTTGGTTAAATATATAAAACATTCAGCAAGTCAACAAACTAAGTGGAGCAACAACAGCATAGTGGAATTACTAATCAGATTCTGCACTACAGCACACAATTCTTAAGTTATCCAAGATCATAGGAATAAAATAAAAAAATCTGTTCTGTACCACATTCCCTATATAAGCTGTGTAACATGTTAACTTTGTATGGTATAGTCCTTATAGTACAAGTCATGTCGAGCATAAATGTTACCATACAAAATGTATACTCAAGTTAAATAAGTTAGTATTTGTCTGCACAGACCTCAGGTACATGCAACAGAACCAGAGAACAATCCACGCCTTGCCAGTGTGGTTTGTAGTTTCTATGAGGCTTTTAGCATTGGCCCTCCATATCAACATGAGACAACAGAACTGAACAGTGCACAGGCAATGGAGGTAGCAGCACATCACGAGATCACAGGACCAATAACTACATGGCCTCTCCGTCAGAAAAAAAAAAAAAAAAAAAAAAATTAGTGAAGAAGAAACATGAAAGGTGCAAAACATGAATGCGTCACATACTGCCTTATACACACACACACACACACACACACACACACACGTACGCACAGGCACACAAAACGTGTCTTTCACCAACCATCAGACAAAAACACCCACCTTTGTGCAATAGGAAGACAGACACAAAATTTTGTCTTGAACTAGGCGTTTCATGACAGTTTGACAGCGAGGACAGCAAACATCTCTGCTCTTACTTAATTCTCAAAAGTGACAAAGCTCAAGCGAACCCTCATCAAAAAAAAATTTAAAAAGAAAAAAAAAGAAAAAGAAAAAAAAAAAACCTGGTGTAAATCGGCCTTGTATTCAAACGAGGAATGTCATGCTCATATTGTTTTTCGTAAAGGCCACTGAGACAGCTAAGCTCGCCCGGTGTTTCTGACGTTAATGCCCTGTTGCCGATCTGCTATTGTTTTGTTGTTCCTTTCTTCATCAGAAAACTCCCCCTCTGCTGAATCACAGGTACAAGCGGAAATGTTTCTCTTCTCCCCACCATATGCTACCACCTCTATGATATTGCACTGAATAAAGCCTTTGTGTTATAGCAGCCAGCATTACTTCACAGAATGCCTCAATAACAGTGTAGTCTATTAGAGATTTTCTTAGAGGAGTATGAGGTCTGTTTCCTTGTGGTGACATCAATACTCCAGAAAAAGTGATGTTTTTGTTGTTTTGTTTTTTTGTTTTTTTTTTTGTTTTTGGCTGAGAAAAACCTGTTGGAAACTTATATGTAACCAGATGCTTTGTTTTCACAGCTACCCTGCTTGAAATAAATGTAAAGTTTTTCTTTTTTCGACTAATGATACAGAAAAGAGAAAAATACATGTCATGAAAATCCTAGTTTTATTTTTATTTTTATTTTTTTGTTTTGTTGTTGTTTTTTTTAATCATCCCTTGATTTAAAATACATCACAGTAATATGTTTTTGTGTCTGCAGGTCTCTTGATTTTGGCACTGCACTGTACATAATTTAGTTGATTTGTATCCATCACTGAACATGAATAATTGTATCACTGGTTATATTCAAATAGGCTCACGCAGTCCCGGAGACGAAGCTCACATCCTCTCTGTCACGTGGTGTTGGATCAGAGTTGATTGTATGGATGCAATATACAGAGCCCGGCATGTGCACATATTGTACATTTATGCTTTTTTCTTTTCTTTGTTTGTTTGTGTGTTTTTATTTCACAGGGGAGAGTCTCTTCAGCAGTTTCTTCCCCTTGGAAAGTAGTCCTTTCTTCTTCTTGTTTGCCAGGTCTTGAGGGTCCCGGGGGTCCAGCGAGACGTGGGGGGCCCTCGAAGGGCTGAGGGGCCTCATGGTGCCCGGCAGGAGGGGGCGAACAATTGGGGACGGGGCTCGCACGGGTGTGGCGTCGGTGTCGGCCGTGTCTGTGGTTTCTGTGGTAACCTGAGGAGAGAGGCGGTGGGGAGGAGGTGTGGAGGCATGGGGCAGCGCATTACAACAGAACCAAGACTTTCATACAGCAGACTAGTCTGTGCTCTTCTTCAAGGTATTATTGAAGTGTGTGTTCGCCCTCAGTGCAGGCAGCAGTTTGGTACCTTTGTACTTGAGACTGTGCTGAGAAACACAACTGTGTTTTTCTAAAGATGAAGTGCTGTAATATAGGTTTTTATTCATTTGTGCTATAATTAATCTTTTTTATGTAATTGCTTCCAAGAAGGAGCTTCTGTTTTTAGTCCCTCAGAATTATTTTAAATAGATTCCAGTTATAATTGTTGTAATTAGGGCAAATTAATACATTTTTGAAGGATTTATTAAAAACCCTGAAAATTATTTTTTCTCATTCATTCATTCTTACTATGAGCAATAATGTCCTACACAAACTTGACATTTTCTAACAAAGAACAGTTTTAATTATTTGACATGAGATTGTTCTGTATTTGGGTTTTTCACTGTGTTCTTCTCACTGCTTGGGTGGGGCTCAGATGTCATGTATTTCTGTGCAACAATGGGAATTTAGCAATATTTCATCAGTTGTGGAGTGTGTTTTCCAATGCTGTCAGAGAGACGCTTCTGTCAACATGTTACACCCACACAGCCCTCATGAAGCAGATGAGTTGAGCTTGTGAGTGTTAAATAACATTTTTGATAATTAAATTAAGAAATTAGAATTTAGAGGGGAGGACTGTGCAGCCTTGGCGACGATATCCACTCTCTAACTCTCTCTAACAATCCAACTAATGCCTCTCACTAATGATACAAAACATAACTAATATTTTCAACAATCTGTACTAAATTGGCCAAAACTATCATGTCTGCCTGTTAATCTGTATTAAATTGACAGTGGAGATATGTTTTCACACACACACACACACACACACAGACAAACACACACACACACACAGACAAACACACACACACACACAGACAAACACACACACACACACAGACAAACACACACACACACACACACAGTACATATGTAGAAGAAACACTGAGGAGGAAGCCATCAAATGCTGAGCACGACATTAGCACACCACAGAGCCGGAGAGGTCCACCATCAGTAGGCCATGAGGGAACATACAGTACGATCATATACAGTACAACACCCAGGGATGCAACTGTAGATACCAGGCTTCTCATCTAATGCAGCACAGGACGCACAGTTATGCATTTGTACACTTTCATTAAGATGATAGTTTGTATTGTTGACATAATGAGGTTTGTCAATGATGTGCCATAAATATAACGCCTTTATGATGTCAAAGTGGATGCTGTTCAATATTGTCAGGTAATAATTACAGATATGTCATAAAATAAACATGTTCATTTGTTGAAATTAATATCTATAAATTATATAATGTACCTCATCATTTTTGGTAACACCAAAACCAGGGAAATAACTTTTTGATCTGATTTGACTTTGACTAATATGTCACCAGGAAACAAAGCTTTACAGAAACACCTGACAAGTGCTTCTGTTATGTTCAAGTGGCCTTTGAAAGCTTTTTCTGTGACCACAAGCTGTGTGCATTAGAGGCTGCAAGTTTGGTATCTCAAGTTGCCGACTTACTGTACAAGGCAGACAGAGCCATTTATGGTGTGAAATGAACAATCTTCTTCTGTTTGTTTGTTTTGTTTTGCCAAGCGGGTGAGGAAAAACAAAAAAGAAATCAGATGTGGCAGCATTGTCACCGTCGGTAAAACCCACACCACTATGACAACTGAAAACAACAACAACAACAACAACATCAACAACAACACCAACACATGAACACAGGGCACAGAAAAAGAATGTTTTTAATATCCAATTTTTTCTTTTATTGTTCCATTGTAACAATACAGTATGGATGTCTCAGTGCTGCGGTTAGTTCTGTCTCTTGAGCTCAGAGCAAACATGGCATTATCCACTGTCAACATGGCTGAAAAATAGATTTGATGTGTGTGCAATATACATAAAGAAACAAAGCCTCTTTAAGGAAATACAGCAGTCGAGCCAAGAAAGTTATTAGAAAATGTATCAAGTTTGAAAAAGGCATGCTTTATCTCTTTTTCATCTTTAAAGTTTTCTTCTCAAATAATTTCTTTCAGTGTCACTGGGTAGCAATTTTTATGTGTTAATAAAGCACTTATTATTATCATTATCATTATTATACACAATAACCACAATTTGATTTTGTGTTTCAGTGCAAAGAGGTACCAAATTATCTTGTGTGAGGAATGAGTTGAGCCTTTTTCAAGTCCTCCTTAACCAGTGCTACATGCATAAATCACCCGCAGAGCTCCCACAGTCTATCCTCTCTCTGTCCATGTCAGGCTTTGCTTCTTCCTTTCTCTGAGACTCAGAAAGGTGTTAACACTGGATTTTGTCCCCTTTTCCAAAGGGTGAAGGGGGAGGAAGGGGGGGGTAGTTAGTTTGTATAGAGTCACCACTGTCACCACATGGACAAACACACACAATGAACAGCACACAGACGGCAAGTGGAGGAAGCGAGAGACGGAAATCAAGAGAGAGGACGGAGGATGGATGAACACAGGGCCTAGCGCTGAGAGCGGCGATGATGATGTACCCGTTTGCCCTCTGAGACGCTGGCGGCAGAGTTGGCAGGGGGCCGGTTGGCAGGCTCTTCCTGGGGGTAGTGGGACGGAGTATCGGTCAGATACACCTCCACATCATCAGGCACTTCTTCCAGGAAGTTAGAGGGAACCAGACCACGGTGGCCGTTGATCTCACCCTGAGGATGGAAACGAGGAGAGGAGTAAACATGGTTGGTGGAATAAAGGAAGGTTGAACATAATGTATTTCACACTGTATTTACAACATGTCATACACTGTGTAAGACCGGACACACAAACGTGGACAAGCAGCACTCACATAATAGAACCCATCTTCATCGATATCTCCAAACACAGCGATGATGTCACCAGCACAGAAGGTCAGCTCAGCCTATCAGGACACAGAGATACAGACACGAATATACAAGGAATGTGATCCATATTTAGTATATGAAGGATTTTTTTCCTGTTGTAGCTGCTGTCATTATATTTCTGAGTAGATTACACTGGTTTGAAATTCCAAAAGCAAATATATAGCACATATCACACAGGTTTTAGCATTGTGAAAAGGTTGAGAATAAATGTAAGGTGGGTAGCATTAGTTTATGTGTGGCTGTCCTTTGATAAGTGTTTAGCAGTCCATCCTCAGCAGTTAGTGATACCTCGACGTCAACATTTGGGGAGCTCTCTCGGGGGTCGTAGTCGTACAGAGCCACCATCCTCCTCGAGGCCTGATCTCGACGGAGGCCTCTTCTGTTCTGCTCTGGAAGCGATAATAGAAGCCATTTTAACAGGAAGTATTTCATCTCATGTTTTTCATTCACAATATTTAACCCTTTCCAAGCCCACTGACTTTGAAACAGTTCTATAACTGTGTGCTTGAACCCACAGATCTTTACTTGTTCGTGAGTTTGACTCTGCAAGTGTAATACCTATTCTGTCCACAGGGGTGCTGAGTGGCAGGAAGCCCTGTTTGATGAGCTGGTCCATGGTCTCATCGTCCTCCGCTCGAATCTCTGACACCATGTTACAGGGGATCAGCCCCATCCTGCCTCTCACTTCACCTCTGTAAAACCCATCTGTGTCTTTATCACCGTACACCTGGTAACCAAGAGAGTGAAAGAGAGATGTTTAGCGCTCCAGCTTTAAAACATGCACTGTGCTTTTTATTTTTTAAATTAAATTGTAAAAAGTATAACAGAGATTCAACATTTAAAGTTGTAGGTGGCCAGCTGGATTGCAGAAGAGCTATTTTAACTGCGAGCTAGTCTATACACTTAAATCTTGCATGATAAACAGGGTAAAGTTAGTCTGAAAGAATTATGCAGTTACTGCATATTAAAATAACTGTTACTGACAACCTATATTTTAGGATCATAGTGTTTTTAATGTTAAACTTGCACTTTATGGTCTGGGTTCATCTTAAAGGCAAATAACTTCACAGAGGAGGAATAAAAAAGATCAAGAATGAAGTGAGTCAAAGTATCTGGCCATCTTAATTTTAAACTCCCACCCTAATGATCTGCCCCTCTTTGAACGGCAGCTCCTCATCAGCTGCATCTGGGTTAGGGGACATGGACAGGGGGTCGTAGTCAAAGAGGGCCACAAAGATCCGGAAGGACTCCTCAGGCTCTGACTCATCGTAGTATGTAGGAGAGCGGCGATCCCGATCCCTGTATCCATCTTTAAAACATGACAGACAAAAAACAAACCAAAGAAAAAATCATCCTGTATCTGTAGACAAGGCAGCCAACAAATGTGATCCAACAAAACAGCTGCTTTGTAGGAGACTCTGTTTCTTTGTAGATATTTTTTTTTTTATCTCTGTGAAATGAAATTGGCCACAAATGGAGCAGATTTCAGGGCTCAGTGATAAAACCTGGAAATCATTTGGTGACAAAAATAACTCCTGTATATATAGCACTTTTATAACGAGCCAGTCTATATTTTTACATAGTGATGTTTCTTAGCCATGCTTCAATCAAAGGAAATCAATGACAGGAAAGTTTTCGTCTTAATAAGTCTTATTGATTTGCTCATGCAGTGTTGCATTGCAGATTTGATTTTCTCGTCTAGTCATATTTGTGCCTGTGCATGCAGGAAGAAATGTGTGCTCAGTCAACTATTTCAATCATTTACTATCGCATGCACCCACAAAACACACAAACACACACACACACTACGTGTATTTATACATTTTTATCTATATTTATGTTTGTATATGTTTGTGCACTGAGAGACAAATGAGGAGCAAGACAAAACATGGTGCAATGCACAGAAGTGATTCAGGGATGTGACAACATCAACAAACACACAAGACTCTGACATGCATGCTACAAAAAGCCCAAACAAAAAGTGCATCTAAAGATAACAACTCCGTATTTCTATTTTCACATATCAAAACATAACACTTAGTGAAATTCTAAGATTTAAAGCACATATCTATATTTATTGTTCCACATGTTGCCAACTCTTGTAGCAGCAGATCTAAAGCAGAAATGGCTGAGTTGTCGTGGAAGCCTGTCATTTGTTTGAATTTGGCATTGCAATATTTAGAAAATGCACCAGCTAGCAAAGTATAAGACTGTTGAGCCAGTGCTTTAGTTTGATGCCTGAAAATACAAGTCTGACATAAAATGCACTGATTCCAGGTCAGCATATGCCAATCTACAGAAGGTTTGGTAACTGTATTATTGTTTTATGTGTTGGTAGGACAGAAATGTAAGGGACAACTGCATTTCCAGCAGCTGATATTTCAAACTCAAACGGTAAAAAAAAAAAGGTCTAAAAAAACATAAAGCAATGAAGTCAGTGTAGTCATTCTTTAATGTCTAGCACTATTAACTCTTCAAAATTTCATGCATGAATGCTCCCATTATAAGTGTAGTGGGTGTGGTTGTACCACAAAGGGGAGGGGTTTAGCAGGCATCTGGAGTTCAGTGCAGTGAGTGAGGCATTCTCTGAGCAGTCAATCAATCATTTATCATCTGCAACTGTGGAAACGTTCATCCTGGACCCGAGGTATGGCTTGCCAGTGGGTCCACCATTTCAGTGCAGTGCAGTCATGCTGTTCAACTGTAAGCATAATAATAGCTATTATTATTTAAGACAGAGAGACAGGCACTTGCAAGTGTCCACAGCTACTGTTTGCCATTTGCCAGTTGCTGGTGGCATTTTTGTTGCCATGCTGTGGTGGTAAAAACAGGACTGCAGGCACATACCATGGGGAGACCTGGTGCCGCCCATGTGCCTGCGGGATGACCGTGTCCTGTGCCGAGCTACTCTGCCATAGTAAACATCCTCGGTGATGGGGGAGAGGTTTCCCTCACTGTTATTCTCAGAGGTTACCTCTACGGGAAACACCAGTTAGAGGGTGATGGGGTTACAACGCAAAAAGCACAACCTTCCCCTCCCAAAAGGTCAACTAAAGATTTGTGTTGCCACCTAAAACTTACAAGGTCATAACAAATGCACACAGGAAAGCAGCTATGAAAAACTACCGTCATTGTCAGAGTAGATTATGGTATGAATGGTAAGAAAAATCTCCAGCTTGTAGCATCATGATAATCACTGCAAGATTGAACTTATGTTAATGTAGTGGAGGGCATGAGAGCATGGTTCATAGACACAGAGGTGATCTGGAGACACACAGAAGCTCATGACAGCTTTAACAGAGAAACAAACACTACTGCAATATGGCACAGACAACATAAAAATCCTTTCTAAAATAGCCTAACCCTTTCTTGCTCAGCCTCCTGCCCATACTAACCAATGGAAGGGACCATTAGAGGTCGCCTCTGAGGTTGGGGACCGCCATGATGGATTCTTCTCCCAGGTTCCCGGTCATGGCCGCCTCCAGCCGGAGTGTTTGTCTGAAATGCACATAAACACACAAGACATTCGCACACATTAGACATTCATGAGTTGCTCACAGACACATGAACAAACTTGCAAACAGTATGTGAAAAAAATGACATTGACATACTTGTACAAATTGTATGTAAACAAAATCATGCAGCACTCACAGGCAGGCACGCTGAAACACAGACACATAGACACACAATCAAACACACACAAGCCCACAGGAAGTTTTAACATTCCAAAATAAAGCAAAAAACTAAATACATACTACTCACTTAAAATTTGTAAAAAGAAAAAAAAAAAGAAAGAAAAAAGGTAAAAGGCTGTGTAAAAGATGTCGGTAAGCTCCGTGTATGTTACAACACTCCATTGTAACGCTGAACTGGCCAAACCAAGTTTCTCACTGTGTCTCTCTCCAACATGCTCAAACACAGCCTCTGTCTGTTTATCTCCATGGTGCCGAAACATTAAAGGTGCTTTCAGACACCGAGCGGCTTCAGGCTACCTCCGATCCTACTAACAGCCTGTACCAAACACCGCAGGCTGCGACGCAGATGGTATAAGCTCATCACAAAACTAGAGAGTTGCAGCTTAAAGCAGAGGAAATGTTTAGCAATATGACCTGATCAAAATAGAACATTTTGCTAACTAATATCTTACATTCGTCCACCGTGGATGAGCAGATATCGCTCCAGCATCATTTCTCATCACTGATGTCTTAATGTTAAGTAATGTAGCTCAAACTGTAAAGTGAAATAAGCTTATCTCTTCAGTGTAGTTTCTGTAGTTGCCAAGGTCACACGTCAAGCGATCGTGGAAAGTTGAAAAGGTTGAACCATCATCAGCTCCATCAACTCAGCAGCCAATAACCTTGTGTGTTCATGAAAGCAGCACTGACAACAATGGAGGCAGTCTGAAAGCACCTTTGCACCCAGTCTGTCTCTCTCCATGGTGCTGAAGCATTCAAACCCAGTCTCTTTCTTTCGCTGTTCATCTCCGTGCTCAAGAAACGGTCAAACCCACTGTCTCTACCTTTCTTATCCATGGGCCAAAACATTGAAACCCATTTTTTTCCCTCTTGCTCTTTTGATATAAATTCGATCTAAACTCAGCACACACACTAACAACACATATCAAGTGCAAGTCAAGGCAGCAGACTCAATTGAAGTATCTGTGCCTGTGCAGTTCACTAAAGAATAATAAATTTGGGTGGTTATGACTCTTGGGTTTAGAATAAGTGCAAAGAACTGCACCTTGGGTGTGTTGTGCGAGTTGCGTCGACGTCCCTCTTCCAGCTGCATCTCAGAGTACAGCTCCTCCTCATCCTCTTCCATGATGTCAGACAGGTCAGAGCCCCGGCTGCTTTCGCTGTGATAATCTTCATTGTGACTATAGTGAGGCTTTCGGTAGTCACACATACACACACACAAACAAACACACAGACGCAAATGTTTAAGTCCACATACATACATAACATACATGCACACAGCAAACACACATGGATAGGCAAACACACGCACATGAGCACACGCACACGTGCGCGCGCGCACACACGCACACACACACACACACACAGGTACGGGCACAGGAGTGTATGCATGCAACCACCCAGACATGCATGCACACACACATCCAAACATACACACACTTAAAGAGGTTCTCCATTGAAAAACACATTGGAGGTGAGGCTGGAAAGAAGGCAAAGCATCCATCACTTATCATGTTGTTCTTACCGGCCTCCCCAACTCAGAGCCTCTGAGGAACTCATCTACTGAGGGTCCTCTCCGACGGCCGCGTGCAAACCCTTCCTCATCTTCCTCTTCCTCGTCAGAGTGATGCTGGTGAAATGAATGACCCTGCTCTCCGTACCTGCCCTGCCTCCTGTCCCCCTGAAAACGTATGAAAAATTAAGAAAGTCAGAAACAGAGGGATGGAAAGTGGTACTTGGTTATTGTATTTTGCAGTTATTTTGCTGCTTTTTACATTTTACAAGTTTGACAACACAATCTGTCTTTTCGGTGTAATAAACTGACAATCATAGAAAGCTAAATATCCCTTTGTACACAAACAATAAATTACTACATTCACTTAATTTACTCCCCCTCATTTATGGGTCGTTTAAATTTACAGATTAAATTCACAGTTTGTCTTGTTGTGAGTTTCTTTTTTCTTTGTTGACTGTGTATTCGATTCTCACTAAGCATCAGCCATCTGTAATATATGATGAGTGAATTTAGCATGTCCATTTCCATCAGACCTTGCCACTTTCTGCTGCCACCCTCTGCGCTGCCTCTCGGGCAATGGCTTTGGCCACGGTGTCCGGGATAAGCGTGCCTCTGGGCTGTGGTAGAATCCTCTGCGGGGAGGGGGAGCGTGGATTGGCAGAGGGAGGGGCCTCAAGGGTGTGGCCTTGCATGGGCACAGGAGGCTGGGAAGAGGGAGAGCGCGAGGGGTCCCAACCAGGCTGGCCAGGTGGAATAGCTCCCCCGTGGTGGGCCGCATGCTCTTTGGCATCCAGGTCTCTGGCACTTACTGGTCTCTGAGGTATAGGGTGGGGCTGGGGGTGGGGTAGCAGAGGCAGTTGGTGCTGGGGCCTGGGACCTTGGTGGGGTGGACGAGGCTGAAGATGTAGTGGCTGGGGCTGAGGATGTGGGGGTCGAAGCTGGGGTTGCGGTGGTCCACCTGGATGGGGAAGTCTGGGATGGGGTTGAGGGTGGGGAGGATGGGGCGGGAGTGGTTGTCCATGTGCCTGGGGTGGAGCAGGAAGTTGGGGCGTGGCATGAGGAAGATGAGGGGATTGGACGTGGGGTTGAGCATGAGGGTGTGGAGGGGGGCCTGCGTGGGGGTGCATTGGGGGTGGCAGGGGAAGCGGAGGTAGAGGCACAAGCAGGTTGTTTGGAATGACGGCGACTTGGGAGTCCTGGGATTCTCCCTGTACTGACAGCGTCCTGACGATGACCTCCCTGGCCTCCAGGCACTGAATCCTTGTCAGCTCGACAGTAACATAGTCTGCCATTGGGTACAACACCTCAGCTATCTGGGTTTAAACAGAAAATAAAATGTTAACATCAACAGAAACTGTATAATCAATTTTAGCAACAACTACAACATTAGAATCACAGTCAAAACATCAGAAGTGAAAACATGATCACATCCCCACATGATTGTCAACTTCTGCCCCCTCTCCTTACAAGCCGGGAGCTTCTCTCTCTCTCTCTCTCTGTGTTGTGCTCTGATTACAAGATTGGGATCAAGTGTGCAGGTGTCCAGTGACAAGCTGCTGACCATCTCCAAGCTTCTCTGCTTTAAATACCAGGCTTCTACTCCATCACGCTGCTAGATTAGAGACTCAGCTTCACAGTTAGTCCAGCCTTTTTGAAGTTAGTCTAATTTCTGTCCCTCTCTTGCTCTGCCTAGACACAGCAGTTACCCCTGGTTTCTCCAGAGCTCTCCTCTGGCCGCAACAATTCTGCTGCCCATTCTCAACAAATAATTAGTTTTATTATACATTTTCCCTTGTTCCAATTCCTCTGCATTCTGCACTGGGGTTCTCTGAACTAGTCCTGTAACAAGGATGAATCTCATTATAATGATCCCCTGCTCTTTCGTCACTCATGAGGAACTGGCAAAATGCTACTTAAAACGCTTTTAAGTTCCAACTCAGAGAGCAGCACAGTAGTTTGCTGCCAAACATGGCTCAGTGTTGATTTACACTTTCCAGATATTGTGTTGATTTACTCTGAATGTCACCAGAGGGAGTAAGAGACCTTTCCAAGACATTTCACAGGTTCCACATTGAGAGACCTGTACTGATAGTGATTCACAAGTAGGTGGCACTGCTGTGTGCGCTGAGGACCTTGATGACATAACGCCTCACTAAACAACAGAGGCTATTAGCATCCCATCTGTGATGTATGTTCTCATGTTTGAAGTGGATCAGACAGTTCACACAGTGTTTTACATAATGTGTCTGTGTACTGCATGTAGGCCTTTGAAATATGGATCCCATATGCTTGTGAATTCTCAACAAACCAGTTCCTTTGTATCCACGATACTGTAGAAAGTCACATTTTCTCTCTAATCACGAGTGAGGCCTTTAACCCAAGATGAGCTCCTCACCGTCACTCACCACACCTTCTTTAACAGACTGAGCTGAAATAAGGACAAAGTCTTGCTTGGCAATACTAAAACCTGCTAACTCACCCTCTGTCCTTTAGTGCATACTGCGTAGCCAATGACATTTGCACCATTAGATGTGCCTGTGGGAGAGAGGATTGGTGGCTTCCAGCAGACCTGTAGGACCCCTGGAGCCTGCCCACAGAGCACCTGTACATCCTGGGGAGGCAGTGGAGGGCCTGGGAGGTGAGAGAATAGGTGTAAGAAAAAAAAAGTAATGATTCACTGTTTAGATATCATCAACATACAAACAAGAGGAGAGGGTGTGATGCATTCATCAAATGCACAAATGGGCACACTCACAACCATGCACAGGAATGCCCACATACAAGAGAGGGGGTGGGAGGATTCAGGAAAACAACAAACTGGGTTCATTCATAATTTGCCCTACATGTTTAAATGTGTGAAAGAATTACATTTACATCTTATTTTGTACTTTGTACATATGCACAGTCCATGCTGATACTTGTAATAATGTGACATTGCTAGTGGGGGACATTCACAAGACATTGTGTGCTGTGTTTATAAAATGTTATGATAGTATATGGATGCGTGACTGTGGGACTAACCTAAGATGCTCCATAATCAAACTGAGCCCTCTTAGTGTTATCATTATTTTGCAAAATATTTTCCTCTTGTCTAGTGCTACACCATAACCACCATACATTACTCTTTATTAGAAGATTTAAAAAGGAAAAAAAAAAAAAAAAAAGGTAGAATGAAAAACGCGGGCTTCTGGGCCTCTTTAGAGAAACACTGTTGTCTCAGCATGCAGCACACAATCCAGAGAGACTAACTACAGCCCAGTCTTTGTCTTCCACTCTCCTGGATCACTGCATAAAACATGCACAACTGCATTCAAGCAGAAGCAAATGCACACTGATACAAAATGGCCATTTCAGTGAGCAGTGGAAGGGCACTGCTTTATATAGAACTGGTTATTCTAGGCTAGGCTATAGGCTGAGTAAATGACTCATCAGAATAATAACTGATTGTATCTTGTGATGCAGGGCTGGTCTCTAATTAGTCATGTGCTTGGTGCAGTAAGCAAACTTGGGCAAAATTGCATTTGAATTTGGTTAGAAAAAACATGGTGTGTTTAAATTTCATTAGATACATGAATGACAACATTGTTAGTAGATGAAAAGTTGTTCTTCAATCTCAGAACCATAACAAAATGCCATTTTGCCCACATCGCTCAACTAATTAATTCATCTATTTAGTCTCATGAGTATAACCCTCGTCCAAAAGTATCATAGCACTAATGTCATCTCTGTCCATCGGTTTTCTGTACAAAGTGCTAAGACATGGGAAACTCAGCCCAGGACTGATGTTTCATTCTGACCTGTTCTGCAATATGGTGTTGGACCTAGACAAAATACAATACACAACAATGGCATGGTAAGGCAATGCGTTACTGTACTCTTCTACAGCACAGTGATAACTGACGTTATGACGTTATGTTACATATTAGACCTGACATTATAAACAGAGTAGTAGCAGTCTGTAATCTCCATCTGTCCTACTACAGCAGTGTTAAAACAAAGAACACAAAGAAAGCATACAATACTATTGACAATTGTCTGTTATGGAGCTATGGATATATTATTGGTAATGGATCTCTATATATAGAAATGAGCCTTGCTGACCTGCAGCCTGGGTGCAGAACTCCACACCAGCTTCCTTCCTCTCTCTCTGCTCCAGTGGCAGTTGCCATGGCACCTGGTGCGGCTGTGCCACCACTGTCACTTTGTACACCGTCAGGGGCTTCAGGTTGAGGAAGCGTAGTCTATACCTTCCTGGCTTAATCACCGCGTGCTCTACCCCATCCAAGAACACGGTGTGACCATAGTTACTGTTACTAGGCAACCAGGAGAGCTCGGCAGTGTCACGCTGGATGTCATCGACTCGCAGACCGCATGGTGCGACCACCACATTGGCTCCCACCAGCAAGGTGCACCGCAGCTCGTCTGACAAGCCCCGGTCAGTGATGCACTGCACGGACACGCGATGAACGCAACCGTCCAGGTCCAGCTTCTCCAGCAAACACTTGGTCCGGCCACCGTACTGTATACTAGCACGAAGTTCCCCATCTACTAACACGTTGTAGCCAGAGATGTTCCCCCAGCCCAAAGGCACTAGTGGAGGCTCCCAGGCCACAATGACGCTCCGTGCCAGCTGCTTGATCAAGGTGATCTTTCGGGGATAAGGCACAACATTTTCAGCCAGGTCCTCAGGGTCAAGGGGCCCCCCTGTCCCATTGCTACAGGGAACCAAGGCATTAGCTGAACCCAGGAGGCCATCCTGGGAGGCACCTCCATCCACTGCCATCAAGGCCATGGGTGTGTGGTCCAGTGGGCCCAGGTTTTCTCCTCCCTCCCCAGCCTGAATCGCTGGTTTTTCCTTGTCCTGGACAAACTCCACGAAGTTGGATGGGACAAGTCCTCGCTGGCCATCCAGCAGCTCCCCTGTGACACAGAAAGAAGTAGAGAGACAGGTACAGAAAACTATTTTGTGCCTCATACTTTTATGCTCATGTTTCCTAATAGTGTAATGCCAACTACCTGAAAATACTACCCTTTAACAACTATCCCTGTGTGGTGCCTCCTACGAATGTTAAAATAGTCTTCACTAATGGATCCTTACAAGAGAAAGACAAAACGAAAGCAGTAACATGAATACATATAATTGTACGTGAGTTTTTTTCCTTGCAAGGTGGGAATGAGTCAGAGAGTTAGAGGCAGGAGAGTTGTAAATATACAGTATGTACTATTCTCTAAGATGTAAGATGCACCGCTGGTTCTCTGATGCCATCTTTTATACTCTCTCCAGTAAACACAGAAGGAAGAAAACACTCCTTTTCAAGATTTTGAAGAACTTGAACTTAAGTTCACTGCTTTTGAACATTTCCAGGAACACCCCTGAGCATGTAGATGCTGTGGTCAATGCAGAAAAAAACATCTTAGATCTGTTCTGTAGTATTTTTCCCAAAGGGAAGAATTTTGTCTTCAAAAAAGCTATCATCTCGTCCTTCAATCCCTTTTTCCAAAGAGGCCTTGGAGACCTTAAGACCATGTGTGCATCTGTGTCTGTGTGTGTTGTTTGTGTGTGCTGACGATTAAGATGAGTCCCACTGGATTAGTCATCAAGCTAAAAGGGACCAAGGTCCCATCTTGACAACAGCTTGGTCAGGCCCGATTCTCCCTCCTGCATGGTAAATACAAGGCTTCTCCACGATGCCATGCAATCTCACCGCCCACAGCTAATGAATCACTGCAGCTGAGTACTACTGTGTTTGTGACGGCCTGCGCTGGCTGCAGGATTGCTAGCTAGAGGGATTAGGATTGCCTCTGATTGAGAAGCCTTCATGATTCTAAAGAGATTATACAAGAGAATCACTCCAATCACCACTTATGAAAAGTGCAATGGAATTTTTCTTGGTGACACTGCTGCACTGGAGCATACTTATAAATTTATATACTTAAGTGTGAGATACATGCAGGGATAGATATCATCTGGTGGAACTTTAAAGTAAGAAATAATCAATTACAAACACTGATACATAGGTGGATCATAAACTATAAAACAGGTCTGGCAACTCTAATATGTGAGCATTCAAAAAATAGATCGCAATGTCTCATATGTCTCATCAGGAACAGTCTTAAAAATCATGGCAACATAACTACATGAATACATTCACACTGCAGTAACAAAGAGGAGGTCACAAGATGAATATAGCCAACAGTTTTATGAAGGACAGATAATGTATGAGGTATGAATGCTGCAACTGTCATGCAACCTAACAGCAACCTTTGTAGCAGTGTGTAGAATGACTGCATCAGCATTATAATCCTTTTACAATAAGTTTTCATTGTGTTATATCATAATGTAGAGAGCTTGTAATGCATGTCACTTTAAATATACAACAACTATACATATACTCGTACATAAACAATACAATGTACAGCGTATGTGCTACAACAGTCAGTGCTCCCCAGACATGGTCATTTTAAAAGCATTTAGACGCCAAGTACAATATTTTAAGTAGATCAAATTCTCTAGGGGAGAAACTGAGCTGACACACACTTTTTGGCATTTGTCTCATTGTGAGGTAATTAATACATGATGATGCACACGCTTGTTGTGACTGTCAAGCATTCTCTGCTACAGCAGCAGACACTGACTCAGGCAAAATCACACAACTTGAAAAGCAACAAAGGACACCCCCTGCTTTACTGTCATCTTTTATCTTTGCACTGACATTCTTTTATGACATTTGTCATCTGATTGCCTGCTTAAGACTAACTTGCAAGTTAATGCTAAAATTATTTTCAGTCATCTCCAACTCAAGGACAACTTCAAACACATCACTTGTGTTGGCCTGTTTTATTTCTCACCTTCATAGAAGCCATCATCATCCATGTTTCCATACACGTACAGATACTTTCCGGCCACAAGGGGGAGTTCTGCTTCAGGATGCTCGTTTGGTCCATCGTAAGGGTTATAACTGAAAGGAAAAATATTAACACTTCACTCTTTTACTTTTTATGTCAAGAGCCTCTTCCTTAAATCTGTAAATATTATTACATTCATAAAGAACCTGTTAATAAACTTAATAAAGATCATCTGCAATAAAACCAAGACTCCTGAAGCTGGTCTCATTCACCTGTAGCGGGCAGTGCAAAGGCGGACCTGGCCTGTGTAGCGAGGCTTGGACCTGGGTGATGGGCTGGCCTCATCCTCCATCTATAGATTAACGACAGAAACAAAGATATTGTTAAATAAGATTAAACAATTATCAATCATTATTACCATCATTAAGTTTGAATATATGACAATATAAGTCAACATGGCCAGGGTAATGTTGTTGTCTTCAAGGTATGGTACATGCAATAATGTGATGAAATTTAGTGATGTGGTGTCACTCAGACCCACCTCTGATGAGGTCAGCTGTCGAGGGGTGCTGGGGTGGTCCGTTGTCACGGTGCTGGATTTGACAGACAGCAGTTCTGGTCCTTCTCTGTCTCCAGTCTCCGGCATGCAGGGCAAGAACTGGGAGATCAGTAGCGGCGTGTTTGCCGCGCTCTCATCGCCTGGGAGACATTGATTTCCATAGCAAATGAAGAGCAACTGTCAATCCTTCTCTACCCATTTGCTGCTCATTGCACAGCTATTGATCTTCATGGCAAATTCTATTCCATCCCCATCAACACCTCACATCGGCAACGTATTTGTCCTTAAATACCACTGAGGTCCTCATGGGAAAAATAATCTTAACGAAACAAAATAGAAAACTGCAGTCTAGCGGTGTGAATGGCTGAATTCTTTGAGGAAATTACCGTAAGTCAACAACATGGATCCACTGCATCACTGGGTTCTTGTGGTTTGTGAGTGGGTAATATTATGCATTAGAACAAAAGCATCAGTGAGCCCCCTCTGTTTCAAGTGAAGAGAAAGATAAAACAGGATTTCCAGCACTTCAAAGACCTTTGGTCTGTGCCAGACTGTATAAATCTACATCGCTGATATGGCTTTATCTGCTGGCTCTGCAGGTTACACCATGTGTTGTTAGAATACTAATGTGTTAAACTACATTCATGACATACATCAGGCCTGTGATCAATTAGGGTAGATATTGATCATGAATAAGCAGTATCGCCGTTAATGGTGTCCACCTCTGGTCAGGAGTAAGCTGATCCAGCTGTTATGTTAGCTGTCTCAGGATAAGATTGCTCTGACTCTCATTTCATTCTGATCATAAAGCCTTTTGATCACATGTAATTTGGTGGGTGCTTTCATCAAGTGTAGTGAGAATACATACATTCTTAAGAATGGGTGGACTCCACTGGTGGTGAACCATTTAACTCTTAGTAACATTTTCTTACTGTCAAAGCACACAGAGCTACATTCACCACTGAGTAAAGATATAAAATCATCATTAGACCATGATGAAATATTACTACCAAAATAATTCTAATGAATCATACATATAAAAATTTAATATGTAAACACATTTTTTTTAATTACTCAAAACTGAAGTTTGAAAATGAGGTGGGACTATTGACCCACCTGTCTCCGGTTGGCCTTCAAACCCAACGATGACCTGTGGGAGTTTCTTGTGTAGTGAGAGGGGGATCTGAGATGTGGAGGTGGGATTAATTTTAAGGATGTCCACAGTATCTGATTGCAAACGAAAATTCAGCAACTCTTTGGACAGCTGGTGGAAGTGTTCACTCTGTGACCTGCATTTCTGCTCCAGGTCACGAACCTTGACCTTTGACAGACAATGAAGAGAGCAAAAGGGGGTGATAATGGCCAAGAGAAGGGAGTGGAAAAAAAAGAGAACAAAATATGAGGAAAAACATACTCCAAGACGCAAAGCATGGAACGTACTTCATCACATGTATTTGCACAGATACGAGTCCTCTAAAGAATAGCCAACGTTTTATCTGTTAATGTTGATCCAACACTGAACCAATTAGAAAAGGATCCCTAAAGACCCATTTTCCAGCTTATAGCAGCATATTATATTGAAACCACTGCAGTCTAATCAACGCACATGGAAGTGTAGAGTCATCTGCTGCAACTGCTGATACACAACATAGCTAAACTCTGATAACAAAGCCTGAGCACTGCAAAGAGTTAAGAGGATTAGAAAACTTACAGTATATACATTAAATACATCATATCACTGACATATCAGAAGAAGCTGGGGAAGATGTATGGGTGTACAGTGGGTATCATATGGATAAAGAAATATAGCAAAACCTTATTCAGTATCATTCAGTGTATATAGGGATTCTCAATTTGCACAAAATACCCACTAAAGGCTTTGAAAGCTCCGGTGATTTGCTGCAAATTCACACAGGCAACAAAGGGGAGATGAAACTAACCGGGGAGGAAAATAAATACCTGAAACATTCTGTCCTTATTGTTCTGTTCAGATAAAAAGCAGCAGAACAGAAAAAAAATAAAGAAAGAAGAAAAATTAAAAGAAAAAAATACATGCTGAAACACCAAACACCAGTAAATGCTATTGTAATTGATGCAAAGTAGGAAAAAATAATGCAAAACAACAATATATCTATCAGCTCAGATAAATACACAGAAACCAAACAAAATGAAAGTGGGAGGAACTGAAAAGACAAATATACATCTGTCAAAATAAAAAAAGCCCAACAAGCACAAAATGACTGAGGACTGTGGTTTCACAGAATACAGACTATAAGTTCTAGGTTTGTTTCCTATAGAGAGTGGAGCTATGGTTTTCTTCCTGTTAAAGTGTGTGTTTGCCCATTAGTGTGCAGATACAGGCGTGTGAAAAAGACTATAAATTAATTCATTGGATTTGTAAGAAGAGAGCTACACTCCTTGACAGTGGAGTTTCCATTTCTCCATCCAAACGCTTGATGTTTATCTGAGCCAAACTGAGGCTGCTTGCTCAGTAAAATCGTATTCAAGTGCTTAAGATGGATAATAACATGACCTCACTTGAACTACACTCAAAGGAGTCAACACACTATTGTCGTGACAAAAGGATTTAGAGTGAAATGAGAAAATAATTTCAAGTAGACGGGCCAGTGACAAGCATCTTAAAGACTCTGATGAAACACAGCAGGTCGGTGATTTGATCGTGGGGAAATTTATAAAAGTATTCAAGGTCAGCCTGGATGCAGGATTAATGGGATGTGTGAGTCCGCAAATGTTGTGATAAAAGTTTTTAGTGATATTGCGTCCAACAACAATACAGAAAACCTAGAAGAAGAGAAAGAGAAAACTCAATGTTTTATTATATTATTCAATAAGCCTTGATGTTGACAAACTGATTTTTTCAATCAGCTGGCTTTTGATGTCTGTTCTGTTATTTCTACAGGAAAATAGTATCACAGTACTAAAAAAAAAAACTTACATGATGTTACAGCAGACTATATGTGGAATTCAAATGAAAAGCCATAATTTATGCAACACCACCTGTTTCAAGGCAAAGGGCATCAGCAAGTCACTATTTCTATATGTCAGAACAGATGAAAAGTCTCGAGGAACCTAAATTAAACCAAGATCCAGAAAGACGACAGAGGCCATGAGTCGGAGGTTTAAGTTTCTGACAATGTTCCCAACAAGTCCTGTGTGCTGCCCAGTTAAACCAAGGTGTCGTTGGTCTCATCTTGCTCAACATTAAGGTCCCTACACACTCACTGCCCACCCACGCAGGTGTTTGGCCTGATTAGACGTACTCTGAGGGCCGTGTGCAGACTGTGCCTTTCTGACATCTCCCTCAATCTCTTGTTAGCTTTGCTGTAGGACAACTCATACTGTTATCATTTTTATCAGTATTCAAATGATTAATTCATGGTCCCCAGACGATGAAACCTACTGACTTTGGTGAGCACCTGACTTTTCCTCTGGCACCATCAGCAGGTCAAAATTTTTATTTTGACAATTTTGTCTTTCGTATTTTATTACTAAACTCCCGTCAACCTCAGCTGTACTGTTCAGTGCTAATTAATAAATGTTAGTACATGCTAAATTTTTTTTAGTACTGCTACATTTTATAGCTAGTATACATAGCACAGCCTCACACTGCTGCTAGTGTGGTCAGTGTAATGTGTAAACTGGCCTTTGTAAGACTAGTTTCTTCTGTTAATTTAAACATTTTTCACATATATCTTCACATATATAGCTATATATGCATAGACCTGTATTTGCCATCTGTGTCTTCCTTATCTGTTGAGCATCTTCCTTATTTCCTTATCTGTCTAGTACTACATGAAACATCCCAAACGATTTTCTGTTTTATTTTATCAGATTAAAACAAAGAGACAAACTATATTTATCAAAGTAACACTGGGGTAAAGCTGGAGAAAGTTCTGTGTTTTTCTCATGTTACTGTACCTCTAACAGGTATACTGCTTCCTCATGCTCTTGGTCAGCTTGCACCCGAGCCTGCAGAGAACACACAGAAACACACAGTGACAGCTGACACTGTGATCACAGTCCATGATGCAGAACAGACAGCACACAGCTGATATACTGTCAACCCAGTACCCAGAGGAGGCTCAATGGTTGATCACAGCAGGAGATCCCTACTCCTGATGGTACAGCTCTAATGAACACTAGAACATTTATTTTAGGGGATGTTTGTGTCCAGTGAGGGAAGTAAAAGCACAGTCTTCAACATTAAAAAGCTCTCTGTGTAATTGTGCAAATCACTCTGGTTGGACACTACACAACTGTTTGTGTGTTCGTTATTAACTGGTTCATTTAACAATTAAAAATGTAGGTTTGAAAATCTCTGAGTGATGATTATCAAGGTGATTGAGTTTCTGTAAGACATGTTGTAGTTAAATATGCAGCACAAGCACTGAAATAAATCCTGCAACCAATCTGGGCCAGACTTGGTAAAAAGTAAGGCAGACAATTTAACATCCTCAATATTTGAACAGCCTCAAAAGTATCAAAAGCACTTGAAGTCCAAGTGTTCCTTGTCATATTTGAAGTTTTGTTTGACTGCTTTCTAAGCAGAGTAAGAACACATATATCCCCAGTCTTCAAAAAGGTACCAGACAGAATACAACACCTAGAGCAGTCATATCTGCATGCTGAAAGATGTTCCCAAGGTGTATAAATTTATCAACAACTAGAAAAGGGACATTTTTAGCAAAGAGTGGTTGAAACTGCATCTCTAATAAAAACTGCTGATTTTTGGACAGGTTTCTGAGGTCTTTATATTTCCTGATACAGTAGCACTGATTCAGTGACAGTGAATCAGCACAAACTGGCTACTGACACATCAATAACTGAACGAGGAGCTTTGGCATCAAGTCACTGCTCTGATCAGAAAGTAATGACCCAGGAGCGTTATGTCAACTGCATAAAAATTAAGCTTTTAATAACCCCCTTTCCTTTTTTTTTTGACTTTATCCATTTGGCCATACCTTATGCAATTGATTGATCTCCTTCTGTTTGGTGTGAAGGGCCACCAAGGATTGCTCATGCTCTATCTGCAGCTGCTGCTTCAGCTCTACAGCCTCGTGCATATGCTAAGAAAGGAGAGGAAAAAGATGTGGTTATGCTGAAGGATGTTACTTAGAGATGATTTTTGACAATATCCCAAAAGAGCTACCCGACCACAATCCTTCTCTATTGATGGTGACAGATACAATACAGCTAGACCTTGAAAGTCTCAACAATTACCTGAATATTGCTGCTGTTATCCCTGACACTGAAAGGAGGGTGTGTGCTGCAGTAGGTTGGCTTACCCACCCTATCAAGGAGCCTTTGAGAAAATTGAGCACAATCTATCTGAATGACAATTAGCTGCAGGCAGTTCTGCATTCTGATGTGAGAGAAATGCTCACAGTTTGTGATATCGGGGTCGTCAGAATATGGTCAAAGCAATGATTTGGTTGCATCAGCTTTCAAATTAAAACAGGAAAAGTTTGACATTATGAAATGTGCTTATTAGCTTTCATGCTGAGAGAAGATTGATACCATTCTCATGTCTCTGTGTCTGAACTACGGAGCTACCGCCAGCAGCATATTTCTCAAAATGTTGAACTACTACTTTAAAAATCAGTCTCAACTTCTCAAGTCTCGAGTTCACTACTTAAAATATGAAAAGTTTTATACAGTATGAGCACATTATATAATTTATAATGTATATCTGTCGCATCCAATCTACTGTATGTTCCAACGTGACTCAGACAAAGCTGTCATACATGGTCACCCACGCTGATCCCAAATCTACCCTCTCCGAAATCAGCCGACTCATGACTATACAGTATCTATCCGTGGAGTCACGACCAGCTGCCACATCTTGCAGAAACAGAGTTAAGGCACAAGATGTTTCTGCAGGCTTAAGAAGAAAAGACAGCTTAGAAAGCTCTGACATTCATCATTTTCTCTCCGTATTCTCTCTCCCTTGAAAAAAAAAGAAAAAAAGAAAAAAAAGAAAAGCCTCTTTACCTCCTGGAGTGGCTTCGAGGTGTCCTGAGCAGGCAGCCACTGCTTTGCATAATCAGGGAGAAGCTCTAAGCTGCAGAGGACCGGGCTGGCTGAGAGGCTGACACTGTCAGAAAACTATTTTTTTTAACCCTTGAATATTCGGGGAGAACTTGATGAAGTCACCTACATTTTCAGGAAACACCCTGTGATGTCATGGTAAAACAGAAATAGACCTGAGCAGCTCCACTGGAGCAGCTGGAATTCAAGTGTTCAGCATAAGCTGAATGGAAACAGAGGCAGAGAGGCAGCAGAAGACCGACCAGCAAGAAAGCACAACTCAAAAACTCAAACTCAACTGAACTCTCACCAAGGCTGACCGAGAAGTAAAACCTTACTGCAAGAGTAAGACCTATTGATGGTAGACGTCTAGACAGAAAATCTAGGCTTGCCCATAAATGAGAGTGATCCCAGCTGTGTAATTACAACAAATAAATCTGTAGCTCTGATTTACACTGCTGTGGTAAAGATCCAAAATCAACTGGAAGATGAGATTCTATTTCTTCTATTTCTTACTACATGTTTGTCTCGCATGTTGCCCTTCTGCTGTGATAGAAAGGCCCAGAATAAGATGTGGTGTGCTGACTATTGCCTTATTATTATATATTATCATATAACTTTAAAACAGAGATTGACAGTGCTGTATCTCATTATTCCTGACTGAAGAACCCTTTTTAAATCAGCTAAATCAAGTCCGTTTTTTTTCCAGTTTTTTCATGTTGTGTTTCCTCCTCCATCTCTGCTTTCTCCACCCACATCGCCCTGTGTAATTTTCTCTAAATAGTCTCTTTGTCTTCATAATCAATACACAATGAGAGAGTGACAAACTGCTCTTTGCTGTATTAGAGAGCAGGTCAGTTTTTCTCAGATGGGTACATTTCTCTCTCAAATATCCTGACAAACAGACAATCGATAGGAGATACAGGGAGGCGAGGATTTGTAATGAGAGTGCCTCTCGCGGCGCGGTGAGACTGTGTCTGATTACTATTGGCAGACCAGAACACGATGAAAAAAGAGCCTCTCCATGAAACCGATGACACGTCACCTCATGCGTTGCATCACTTTCCTTCTAAAGTTTTCTTAGAAAACAAACACATGAGAGGTGGCAACATTTCCAAAAGAGGGATGAAAATCTGGACTGAAAAATGAGGACAGGGGGATGAATGAACAGCGTGAGGGTGGGAATGTTTGACAAATGGAGTGAGATCTACAGTACGCCAGTGAAAACATGGACAGGTAGACTCGGTGGTGATGATGGGGTATGAAAAGAGGATAAAGGGTTTAGACTTGGGTCCTCCTAAATTTCTAAGCTTTGAGATATGTGGCACAGGGGTTCCAGATGCATAGTGTCAATTCCTGAACTAAATTTAGATTCAATAAACATAAACATATAAACATATATAATTTAATCCACAGCTGCAGATGATTAAATCTCCCTTCTGAGGAAATTGTGAGACAAGGGAAAATTGTTCTTAAATAAATATGAAATAAAATTTCAAGATCCTTTAATCAAGAAGTCCAAGAGTTCAGTTTCTTCAGGTCTATTATTTGAACTGAGACACTTACCGACAGGATTTCAATACTCCAATTTGATTTCTGACATTATTAAGTTATGTGGAGCTGGTCATATGGTCTCTTTTACTCCATACTCTTTGTCAGACAACTAGCAGAGCACTCCTGTCATTTAGTGAGAAATCACAGATAGGATTTGGAAAAGTTTAAGGAAGTTAGCAACAGATATTATAAGTGTGACTGTATCCACAAAATGAAAACTTCATCAAACTTTAGATCATGAAAATGATCTACTGCTTGGAAAAGAGATATGATGCAAAAATGTAATTATGAAGGCACAGAGGAAAACTTGCAGGGGAAACAGATGGTGAAGGAAGATGAATTAAAAAGATGAAGAGGTAGACTTCGATTCCCATATTTTCATCAGGATTAAAAGGAGGATGTAAGTGATATTTCTTTTCAGGGGTACATGGGATGAAAAATACATAAATGGAGGGATGTCTCACCTTTAGAACCTGTTCCAGGTTCTCCACTTTGCCTTGCAGTTGGCTCCTCTGCCGCTGGGCCACGTCTCTCTCCTGGCTCACTACAGCAAAGGTCTGTCTCAGCTGGTCATAGTCTGATCGCACCTACATGGACAGAAAGAGTCCAAGAAGAGCAAGAGGAGGTTCAGAGGAGTGTTAACAAGATGGATATAAAAGACCATTGAAAAAGTCAGTGGTGACACAAACAGTAAAAACAAAACAAACACAACAAAGTAAATGAAGAAAAAAACTTTAATTTCCTCTTTGTTTTACTTGAAGATTTTCAAAATGCACCCATTATTCTGTTGTTCTGTCTTAAAAGAGGAAAACAAGCATGCAGTTTTTATGAGGTTTGTTCTTGCAGCAGACCTAGTTTTTGCATTTATGAATAGAGGCTGCTTTTTTCTTTGGCTGGAGGGTTGATTGGGAGTTCACACTCTGAAGAGGAATTAATCAGCACATTTCCATTTAGCCGTGATGAGACAGAGCTGCTGACTGGAGCGTTCTGCGTCTCGTTTCTTCATCAGTCAGAGGCCTTGAGCTAAGCTAGTTCCTCTAAAGGTGGCCTCACAGGATTGAGCAGAACCATCCCTCAGCCATACACCCATCATCTCATTAATTAACAAAACAGATGAGTGCACAATAGATAAGCGCAAAGTGCACAAAAATAGACTGCTGCAAAGGAAATGAGTTCATTCATAAAGAGGACTTTATGATTGCAGAGTTGGATTGAACTATATCACTATAATTATCATTATTATCAAGCCTATAATAATAATGATAATAATAATAATAATAATAATAATAATAATAATAATAATAATAATAATAATAATAATAGCAATTATTTATAGAGAGCTTTTCTAGATATTCAAGGATGCTTTACATCAGGGGTCCCCAAACTACGGCCCGCGGGCCACATCCGGACGCCGCCAAAGCAATGCAAGTGGCCTCACATTAACGATCCGCAGACAATCCTCTAAACATCAACTAATTATTTAGTTAAAATTGATTTTCCCTATCATAACAATCAATAAACTATCCGTACTTTAAAGGTTTGGCATCTAATTAGAAAATTGACGCATAGTTATGAGCTATTTAATAGTTAATAGTGGCTATCTTCACCTCCTCACACGCAATGGTAATATGTCTGTACGTGACTTGTGATATCGTGACCGAGAGCCAGAGCGTCAAGCTTGCAAAAGAGTTCTGAGGTGGGAATTGTCATGAAGGTGGTTGTGTGTGTCCTGCATAAACTTCATAAGAGCAAACGGACTTAAACACAGGGCAGTTCCTAAGCCTTTCTCTCCGAGCTAGAATCGAGGCCAAGACGTGCTTTACCATCTGAAGTCCGCTGGTTAGACTGGGCAGAGTTTGTAAGAGCGTTTTTACGACCTGCTAACGCCGAAAATCAAATGCCTTTCTCTGACAAAGGGAAAAACTGTCCCAGAGCTGATCGACACAGGAATGGAAATGGGACCTCGCCTTTATTAACAGAATGTGTCAGAAATTTTAAACGGCCTCAACTTGCAGCTCCAAGGCAAGGGACAACTAATCTGACATGTATGTCCCACATCAAAAGTATTTTGAGGCTTAAACTAGCACTGCTTATTGGACAGGTGCAAAAACAAGAAGCTTTCACCCATCCCTCTGCTACTCGAAGCCTGTCATGATAACCGGCGTCCCGTTCCCAACCGAGAAGTGCAAGGACGCACCTGGAAATCACTGAGGGGCGGAGTTCGGTGTGGCGGTTCCGTGAGCTTCATGTCCACGTTAAAGAAATCGCGCACATTCCAGAACCCTTTTGCGCTGACAACTTAAACGACACCGGCTGGCCCTTCTCTGTCAATTTGAGCTGGCTGAGTTTGGCAGACCTGTGGAGCAACTCTGAAGCTGATAAAAAATCTCGACGAGATCAAGTCTCACAGATCAAAGCACCTGCATCAGTCTCTGAGACTGGCTGTAAACTGGAATGGAACCTGACATCGATCTCCTCACCAGTCAGAAGTAGAGCCCACGCAGCTCACACTGAGTATGGTAAGCCTACTGATATTCAATAGCAATAGATATTAAAAAATGTTCATTATAGTAAATGCTCTTTTTATAGGCAACATGTTCTAAACCTGATTCTGACCACTATTGCTGTATTAATATTATTTCACTACCTGTAAAGACAGAAGCACTTACCGTTTGTTAACATCACTTGTACCTGTTACAAATCACATCACCTGTCATTCTTACTTGAACATTACCAATCAGTTTGTGTGTTGTTATTTGTTCTATAAAATAAATGGAGTATCTGTGGTACTGATAAAATAAACACATGTGAAGACTTTTTATTACTTGTTTTTTGCAAATCACAGGTGGTGGCCAAAGCCAAACGAAGGGCAAGCTACAACAAAATTATCATGTAATTCTCCACAATAATACTGGTTGTCCACCGTGGCCCATATCATTTCTGTTATAGACTAACCTCGGCCCCCCATCTCAGAAAGGAAAGTTGATGTGGCCCCACTGAAAAAAAGTTTGGGGACCGCTGGTGTGGCACCTCAGCAATATGAGGAGATGACCCATGGCGGCCCTTCGAAAGGGAGCGCACTCAGAAGGCTGGGGCTGACATATGTTACTGCAGTCGTTGACGGAGCGAGTCCGTAGACACCAATTTGTGGACTTTCGAAAAATTTCGTCGTCGCAAGCGGGCCCTCGGAGACGTTTAAGGAGGCATCCGTTCCGAAGGGAGCGACTTAGAAGCCTGGGGCTGACATATGTTACTGCGCGTTACTCAGGACTGTTGGACAAAGCTTTTCCGTTGTGAAATTCACACTAGTCTTAATGGTGTGGCACCTCAGCATATGAGAGATGACCCCATGGCGGCCCGCCGGGGCCTCGCCGGCGCCCCCCCGGCACAGGCATTGCGCCCAGCAAGCAGAGCTAGCCGCCCGGCCGGCCCAAGCGGCCCGCCAGCACCGCCCCCCCCGCCCCGGCAGCAGGCATTGCGCCCAGCAAGCAGAGCTAGCCGGCCGGTGCCCGCAGGCGCCCACCCCCCCGGCACAGGCATTGCACCCAGCAAGCAGAGCTAGCCGCCCGGCGGCCTGCGGCCCGCCCCGCCCCCCCCCAGCACAGGCATTGCGCCCAGCAAGCAGAGCTAGCCGCCCGGCGGCCCGCAGGCACCCACCCCGCCTGGCAGCAGGCATTGCACCCAGCAAGCAGAGCTAGCCGCCCGACGGCCCGGCCGGCCCCCCCCCCGCCATTGCGCCCACAAGCAGAGCTAGCCGCCCGACGGCCCGCGCGCCCCGCCCCCCCGCCATTGCGCCAAGCAAGCAGAGCTAGCTGCCCGGCGGCCCGCCGGGCGCCCCCCCCCCCCCGCACAGGCATTGCGCCCAGCAAGCGAGCTAGCCGCCCGGCGGCCCCCCCCCCGCATTTTGCGCCCAGCAAGCAGAGCTTAGCTGCCGGCGGCCCGCCGGCGCCCCCCTCGGCACGGCATTGCGCAAGCAAGCAGAGCTAGGCGGCCCCCCCCCCCCAGCACAGGCATTGCGCCCAGCAAGCAGCAGCTAGCCGCCCCAGCCGCCCCCCCCCCCCGCCAATTGCGCCAGCAAGCAGAGCTAGCTGCCCGGCGGCCCGCCGGCGCCCCCCCCCCGGCACAGGCATTGCGCCAAAGCAAGCAGAGCTAGGCGCCCCCCCCCCCCCAGCACAGGCATTGCGCCAGCAAGCAGAGCTAGCCCGCGCCAGCGCCCCCTCCCCCGCAGATTGCGCCCAGCAAGCAGAGCTAGCGCCCGGCGGCCTCGCGCCCCCGCCCCGCCATTGCGCCCAGCAAGCAAGCTAGCCGCCCGGACGGCCCGCGGCACCCACCCCCCCGGACAGGCATTGCACCCAGCAAGCAGAGCTAGCCGCCCGGGCGGCCCGCCGGCGCCCCCCCGCCAATTGCGCCCAGCAAGCAGAGCTAGCTCCCTCGGCGGCCCGCCGGCCCCCCCCCCCGGCACAAGGCATTGCCCCAGCAAGCAGAGCTAAGGCGCGCCCGCGCCGGCCGCCCCCCCAGCACAGGCATTGCGCCAGCAAGGAGAGCTAGACCGGCCCCGGCCGGCCCCCCCAGCAATTTTTTACCATCAGCTGTGTGTTTGTTATTTTCTATAAAATAAATGAGGAGTTATTCTTCGTACTATAAATAATAACAGTGAAGACTTTATTATTACCTTTGTTTGCAAATCAACAAGGTGGTGCCGATAAGAGCAGCCAAACGAAAGGGCAGCTACAAGCAAAAATTTCAATTGTAATCTCCACATAAATAATACTGTTCATCCGCTGCCCATATCATTTCTACTGTTAACTTAGGACTCCCTGGCCCCCATCGTCAGAAGAGGAAGAATTTGTGGCCCCACTAGAAAAAAGGTTGGGACCGGCCAATATTACATGATGAGTTAACTAAAGCATGATTAAAGTGTAGGACAGGATATACAAAACAAACATTTAAATCACGCTGTCGGAAATTTAAACCACGTGTTAGCACTATCATAATCTGCCTATAAAATAGAAAAACATTTTCCCATAACAAACTCAATCGATTCTCTTTGACTTTAATAAAGGATCTTAAAATGGAAGTCCAATTATTTTTCACGAATGATAGCACCTTTCTCTAATTCATCTACACGTACCAGATACATAACACTCATCTTCCTTCTCTCCACTCTCAGTTTCTCTCTCATCTTCTTTCTCCCCTTTCGATTGCCATCATTCGACTGCTTCTAGCAGAGTCCAGTAGATTCTTGCCTGATCTTTGCCCCTTGCAAGCCTAGTCACATTCATTCATACTGTCATATCTGTGCACGGCTGGAACACCAGCTTTTGCCCCCACTTCTTTTCATCTCATGAATGACCCACCTGCTTGTCAGTCGCACAGAATGGCATCTTTTTGTATGTGTTGGCAACGGTGTATGAGGCCAAGCAGTGAGCTCTGAGTCCCGAAATATTCCTGAAATGTGACGTCGCCCCTGCTGTGAAGTCACATTATTAGCCACAAGAGTATCAAATCGGCCCACCATCACAGTACTGCCAGTCGACAGTGTCTCTGTGCGCGTCATGTGTGTGCAATGTTTAAGCAGATGCATAGT